AAATGGCGCTCTAACTCGCAAAATTTGTGCGATATCTTTCAAAATCTTCAAGACTTACATAACTGTTGCATTAGAATTTTCATTCTCATCGTAAACTTTTTCTAACTGCAAAACATTTGTTTGATATCAAGGAAGCTCACATAAGCACCAGTGATGAGTTTATTCTTTTAAGGCCTGAGCTATGTTGAGTAATTGGCAGATCACGTCAAGAAAAAAATCATATCCATGGGCATGTCACCTGAAGACCGTAAGCACGAACATGTTGCTTCTCCCAGTTAATGCTTTTCGCAACTTGTTTGCTCGTTTGGGGCAAAAATTTGAAGACTTTGTTGTGCCGATTACAGTCAATCCGGGGCAATCACGTAGAGATTGGATGAATCTCTCTAAGAGTTTGAAGACACCAGAGCATGGTGAATGCCAGGTCTTTTGTAAAATCCTCTTGAGACGATTTCTCCTCATCAACCATATAGCTCGGGGCATTTTAGAGGTGAAGCTATTCGCAAGAATTATCGTGCATCACGCAGCTTATCAGCAGTAAACTTGGGGAATCCAAAATTAGTCCCAGGGGCAATCTAGATTTGTCAAGATATGTGATATGTATTGCACACATTATCAGAGAGTGGTGTTCCCAATATCTCCAGCTAAGCATGACTTTTTCCAGCTGAAGCATTGTTCGTGTTGTTATCCTTTCAATGGATTGTCGACAATAGAAGACTAGACTTTGGGTTTTCTACCTGAAAATATCTTCCTCTCCAGAGTTATTTAATCCTTGTAAAAGGACTTTGCTCCAATGATGGCTTTTGTTTTCTATCTCCAGTAATGTTACCATCCTGTTGAGATTAGCCGAGTGTCGAGTTGTACTGTGATGTCTTATCATTTTCTGTCTATCTCCCCTGTCTGTTTTGTTAGCATATACATGACATTCATTTATTCATTCACACTTGCATCATGCATGCACAGTTGTATTTAATGATGTCTTTGAGTACGTATACCTTGGTTATGTCTATTCAAATAGCATATTTGATCTTTCCAAATAGAGTGTCAACTTAAGCAGAAAGTGCGCCTCTTTTTCTAATTCCCCACTGAGTTAACTCTCGTGGAAGAATCTTGCTTTAGTTTTCCTTTTCCATCTCTGGATAGGATAAATCCCCATTTGAGTTGTTTCCTCATTGAGTGGAGTCTTGTTTGACTGTTTTTCTCTCCAGGTTATTCCTGGATTGAGCTTTGTCTCTTGTGAACGATACCCTGTGGATATCTCTAGGCTGTGAAACCTAGATGGAGAGTGCATTTATTTTGCAACGTAAATACTTGGTCTTCTCGGGAAGAATCCATTCATGGTTTCCCATTGAAGATGAACTTTATTCCCTAGTAGTGTTATCACAACCTTCTTCTGGAATATCGACATGACAACAAGCGACTGACTCTTTATTTGAGCAGTTTGATTATTTCTGATTTCTTTATGACAAATGGCGGTCTCTTCATGAGCAATTTGTCCATCCCCGATGAAATTATTGGTTCTCACCTCCAACAATATCTTCACGATATTTTATGGGTATCTTTTTGGGAAACAGCAAGCGGCAGTCTCTTCATGAGGCAACTTGTGTGTTATGGATACTCTTGACAAACAGCAAGCGGCGGTCTCTTCATGAGCAACTTGTATGTTATTGTCACCTTTGAAAACATCAAGCGGCAGTCTCTTCATGGACAACTTGTATGTTATCAACACTTTTTAAAAACAACAAGTGGCAAACTCTTCATGAGTAGCTTGTGTGTTTTAATATTCTTTGAAGATGGCAAGTGGAAGCTCTTCATGAGCAGCTTGTGGTTTATTGGCAACAAGTGACATACTCTTCATGAGTAGCTTGTGTGCTTTAATATTTTTTGAAGACAGCAAGTGGCAGCTCTTCATGAGCAGCTTGTGGGTTATAAGCAACAAGTGGCAGACTCTTCATGAGTAGCTTGTGTGTTTTAATATTCTTTGAAGATGGCAAGTGGCAGCTCTTCATGAGCAGCTTGTGGGTTATAAGCAACAAGTGGCAGACTCTTCATGAGTAGCTTGTGTGTTTTAATATTCTTTGAAGATGGCAAGTGGCAGCTCTTCATGAGCAGCTTGTGGTTTATTGGCAACAAGTGGCAGACTCTTCATGAGTAGCTTGTGTGCTTTAATATTTTTTGAAGACAACAAGTGGCAGCTCTTCATGAGCAGCTTGTGGGTTATAAGCAACAAGTGGCAGACTCTTCATGAGTAGCTTGTGTGTTAATATTCTTTGAAGATGGCAAGTGGCAGCTCTTCATGAGCAGCTTGTGGTTTATTGGCAACAAGTGGCGGACTCTTCATGAGTAGCTTGTGTGTTTTAATATTCTTTGAAGATGGCAAGTGGCAGCTCTTCATGAGCAGCTTGTGGTTTATTGGCAACAAGTGGCAGACTCTTCATGAGTAGCTTGTGTGTTTTAACATTCTTTGAAGACGGCAAGTGGCAGCTCTTCCTGAGCAGCTTGTGGGTTATAAGAAACAAGTGGCAGTTCTTCATGAGCAGCTTGTGTATTTTAATATTCTTTGAAGACAGTAAGTGGCAGCTTCTTTATTTAAGCAACTTGTATGTCATAGCACTTTTTTGAAGACAGCAAGTGGCAGCTTCTTTATTTGAGCAGCTTGTGTATCCCCAACAGTAATGCAAATGGCATCCCTTTGGAAAAGTCCCATGGGAAAGTTTGTATCTTATCCTTTTCAAGCGATATCTTGGTTAAAGGAGGAATGTGTTACCGTTATTGGTAAAATTCAGAAGTGAGAAATGTCTATTTCCAGTCTCAATACTGATGTAAATCTTTCCTTTTCCAATCACAGTGCTGATGTCAATCATTTTGCTTTCCAGCCACAGTGCTGATGTAAATCATTTCTTTTTTCCAGTCTTTGTACTGATGTAAATCATTTCTTTTCCAGTCTCGACACTGATGTAAATCATTCAAGAGTCTCTCATTTGAAGTCTATGACTCTGTTTCCCCAGTGGAGTTACAACCTCTTCCTCTGTGGGATTACTGTATAATATGCTTGGTTTCTCCAGCATAGTCCGTCTCATATGGCGTCATTCCCCATAAAATTCATAGCATTACATTCATATCATATCATGAACATAATCGCGATATCTTAAGGCAAAAAATTGTGTATTCTATATTTAAGTCCCTTCAATCTCGTCGAAATGAAGATCCCAATCTTCATATCTCCAGATAAAAGAAACTTAAATAGGGGCAGCTGTTGTACCCCAATTTTTGACCTAAGATCCCATTTTTATTTTTGCATTTTAAGATAAGTCAAGGACACGAAATACGGTCGGTTTTAACGTCTCACTTTCGAGCTTTGACTATGCGAAGATTGTCAAGTGTTTTGAACATTTTTAGCATATGTATCACTAATTTCTAATCGCATACAAAGGTGTATGTTCATGTTTTCTTTTGCTTCATGTGCAGAGACAAGTCTGAATCAAGAGCATCAGGTGTCGCGCCTCAATTAAAGTTTTGAGTCTCCCAAGCCAGAAGTACGGTTGATTGTGGATTCTCGAAGACTGATTCATCAAGGCACAACTGTTGCACCCTAAATTTCGCCCCTAATATGTTTTAGTCGCACTTTCATATCATATTTTGTTATTTGGTCACAATCATTAGTAAATATCTTCATTCATCACATTTTGCATCATTAGTCGTATTTAAGTTGACCAGAAAAAGTCAGTTTAAATCAAAGTTTGCATCGTCTTTCAGTTGTAAAATACCCGACATTTCACTTCATTCATTTTTATCTGTTTACTATTTTCTTGCATTGCTCCAAGTTGTTTATATGTCGATAATAAAATATTTTGGTTTTATAGACAGACTGTTAAAAGCGATTCGACACTATGCGGGAAATTAGCGAGAAAATATTTCAAGTTTTCACCTTTTACCGATCATTTTATGAATCTGCGTTTCGCGTAGATTATGACGGTATGCTCGCTTTATTTTTTCGGTACAGTTCGAAGTCTCATTTTTAACCTTAAACGTCTGTTTAGTCTGATATTTTATTATTATTTTATTTTTGATTTTTGACTTCTTGAATATTTTTTTCTTTAATCTTTGTGACATGTAGATTATTTTAATGTGTTCATTTTATTTTTTCGGATAAACTTTCGTCCACTTTTTATCGTTTTCGGTCATTTTGGGTCTTTATTTTTTTTATTCTGAAAAAATTCAAAATTATTTTAAATTGAGTTAACTTTAATAGTTTCAGTTTTTTATTTCATTTTTATCAGTTAAGGGTGTTTTTGTCATAAAAAATATTAAATGCACTATACTTGATTTTTATTGGTTGTTGACAAAATTTGAGGATTAATGCATATTGAATAATTTTGAACGGTTGTGATTAATTTTGAAATCAAATTCTGTTTTTCATTTTTCTATATAAAGCTTATTTTACTCTTTGGAACAAGACACTTATCTCTTTCTCTACTCCATAAAACAAAAACAAAAAGCAACACAGTACTCCTCTCTTTTTCAGCATATCATCATTTCCTCTCTTTAACTCTCTTCCTCCCGCCTGCATACATCCAGCACCATCAATTCACTCTATCCCCAAACTTCCTTCAACCCACCCTCTATTCTGCATATAATCCCTCCTTCATGGAATTCATCCGCAAGCTGCAAACCACTTCCTCTCTCCGCCACAGCATCACACAACCTCTCACCGGAAACCCCATTTCCTCCGTCATTAGCTACTCTCTCCCTTTCTCTCTCATCAATTCTCCCCTTATTCCAACCCAATCTCCCATCTTTACTTTCACCACCACAACCCAGTAAGGTTAAAGTCCCAACCCAAGCTTCATCTCTCACCCATCTTTCACTCTCCACAAAAACCCAATCTTCTCCCTCAAACAAAACTTCCCACAAATTCACTTTCATTGCTAACCCTCTCAAATCACCGCTTTCCTTAATTCCTAACCGTCCTAACGACCCTTCTTCCGCCGCTGCTATCCGTCATGTTTCCATTGTTTGGTTCCGGAATGACCTCCGTGTTCATGATAACGAGTCTCTCAACACAGCCAATAACGAGTTACTCTCCGTTTTGCCGGTTTACTGTTTCGACCCTGCGGATTACGGTAAATCATCATCTGGGTTTGACAAAACAGGACCTTTTCGTGCTAGTTTTCTTATCGAATCGGTTTCGGATCTTCGGAAAAATCTTAAGGCGAGAGGGTCGGATCTAGTGGTGAGAGTTGGGAAGCCAGATGCTGTTTTGGTTGAATTGGCTAAGGAAGTTGGGGCGGATGCGGTTTATGCTCACAGAGAGGTTTCTCATGAGGAGGTGAAGATGGAGGAGAAGATTGACCTGTGATGGAAAAGGAGAGTATTTCTCACATCACAAACATTATCATCAATCTTCCGTCAACAGTAGCAGCTTACGTACGCGAGCGTTATTCCACCAATCCTACAGCAACTTCAACACCTTTGCTTTGATAATTTCGACGTTGTCCGGTAACTCCGCGATTCTATTATTGATTGTTTAAACTGTGATGTTATGCTGTTAATTCAATTTTGAGTGATATGTTTTAGGATTGTTTTGTTTTGATTAAATTAGTGTTGTTTATAATTATTGAATTTGTGACTTTAGTTTTAGCTTGCCAATTTGAATGATAACATGATGTTGATTATTAAATGTAATTGGAAACCATGTTGTTTGTTAAATTGAAGCTTGAAGTTTTATGGCGTGGCTTTATTTGAATGATAATTTTTTATGGCATTACGATGCTACTTGAGTTTCTAATGGTGGTTTATCATGAGTTTTAATGCTAGACACTAATCTTGTTTGAATTAATTTAAGATGTCGTGTTATTTGAGTAGTGTTCAAGAGATGTCGATGGTTTCACCTTGATTCAAGTGTGTTAATTTGGAGTGAGCTAAACTTGATTGTGGTATTAATTTATTTTCCTTTTGTTACGAAACATGTTTTAATTGGAATTTTGGGACATAATTGTTAATGTATAGTTGCTTCTCGGTTTTTTTTCAACTTAATCGATTATGAATTAATTCTAAAATTGGTCCATACTTTGAAGTCAATTTTAATTGCAACATAGGTGCATGCTATTTGTTTTCGGTTTTTAGTGAATTGAGATGTGTCTTGAGTTTGTTTTGAGACTTTAGGTTCGTGAAGTTTTTGGTTGCTGCCCGGATTTGGTTCGATTGATTTTAGTTCGCTTCGAGCTCAACTTTACATGTTTTGAATATTGGATTGAATAATAGGTTGAGTTTCTTTGGTGTTAGTTTTGTTTATGAGTTGAAATCAATTTACAAAGTTTGTTGGTTTGATGTTTGTGTTTGTACATAAGTTTAGAATCACTTGGAAATTGATTTTCATGAGTTTTTTTTTATGCATAATTCGTTGTTGTCCAACTTTTGATAATGCTGATTTTTTTGTGTTTACATTGAACAATATCATGAATTCTTGATTTTGATTTAATATTCATTTGTTCATATGCATCATACAAGTTCATTTTGATTTTTTATACTTTGTGATTATTAACATAAATTTTAATTATTTCAATTTCCTTCATTTTATTTTTATACTGCTTATGCTACTAACGCATTTGTTACTGTGAAGGTTTCCAAAAAATTCGTTTCAAGTATTAATTCCCGCATAGCGCATCAATAATTCCTACACTTCTCCATTTACCTCTTTATTGTATTTCATTATTTTGATTTAATATTTGGTACTGTAAATATATACTTGTACATAATATTTTTTACTGTATATTTTACTCGTTTCATTGGTAAATAAATTCCGTCTATGTAAATATTATTTTCATTGCATTGTGATTTTATTTTTAATTCCAGCTAACTTCTGAAAATTGTGCGGACGCACATAAGTTTTTCCGTGCTGTTAGATTTGTCGGTATATCTCTTGTGATGCAGGGATTCTTATCAGATGCCGTGAGCTTTATCCATCGCCCTTTGCGCTTTATCTGATTCTTCTCCTGACACGCTTTTCTCGTATGTGATTTATTTTCACTTGATGCGCTTTATCTGATTCTTCTCCTGACACGCTTTTCTCGTTTTTTTGATGCCGTCGGCTCGTGATTTATTTTCACCTGAGGATTGATATACTCTTAGCTTATTTATCTGTCTGTAGTTTTAAATCCAAGGGAAAGAATTAATTTGTTGACTTCATGTCATCAAGTATCTAATACGATTATGTGAAATCCCTTCATACTTTTTTTAGTTTTGTTACTCTTAAGACAAATCTCCTACAAATCAATTTTTAAACTCACACCCCTTTTAAGTCAAAACTTCAACACTAGGTCGTCGTATCTTCAAAATCTCATCCATACCCCTTTAACTAAACAAACAATTTTAACCAAAAACAGATATTTCAAAAGGTTCCTGTGGAGTACCGCAGATGCATTGGATGCTAATACCTTCCCATTGTATAACCAACCCCCAAACTCTCAATCTCTTTTCAAAACGCATTGTATTACTCTTTATTTTACATTGCATGTTTTTTAGGGTTTTATTTCGCTCTTTTCCCTTTTCCCTTGGAAATAATAAAGCGCGGTGGCGACTCTTTCTTTTGTGAGTCAAGTTAATTAATAGCTTGATCTCCGATTTTCACCGCTACAGACTTTATCCCAAATCCTGCCACAATTATTGAAGACCAACTTGGTGATTCTGAAGGAGGCCCCGAAGACTCCCAACACTACATCACCCATGTATGATCCGAATGCCCGTTGTGCTTTTCACTCTAACAGCCCGGGGCATGATACATATAACTGTTGGGTTTTGAAGAATAAAGTGCAGGACCTAATTGATGCTAAGGAAATTCAGTTTGAAGCACCATAAAAGCCTAATGTCATAATGGCGCCTATGCCCAAACATGACGCAGGAGTGAATGCTATTGAAGACGATGATGACGAGTTTGATATTGACAGCTGGATATACCCGACTGTTGATGGTGGACTAAGCAATTGAACATCGAAGAATTCTATGCCCGTTTCTGTTATTACCCAGTAATGAGACTTTTGTTTTAAATTTGTAACAGACAATTTTTAAACTTTACGGCCCGGTATCTTACCCGGGGCACTGTGGCTTCATTTGTGAGGGCTTTATGTGTGTCATCTACATATATCATTAATAAAAGCATTGGACATTTCTTGCATTTCAAATTTTGCGCTCCTTGTTTTTCTTTTATTATATATTGCAAAACAACTATTTTACACACACACATATACAGGTCTACATCCACTCTGGATCCTACTGGTAACGACTCTGCTACTGCCAGTTATGACTTAGAAAGTCCGATCAACTTAGCCGAAGACGAAGGTGAAGATGATTGCGAAGTTCCTGGTGAACTTGCTAGAATGTTACTTCAGGAAGAGAGGGCTATACAGCCGTATGAGGAGCCAGTGGAAACAATAAATTTGGGTACAGAGGTAGACAAGAAAGAGGTCAAGATCAGTGCAAATCTGGAAGCTAGTGTTAACCAACGGTTGATTCAGATGTTGCGTGAATATGTTGAGATCTTTTCCTGGTCTTATGAAGATATGCCTGGGTTGGATACCGATATTGTGGTTCACCGATTGCCTACCAAGGAAGACTGTCCTCCAGTAAAACAGAAAGTCCGCCGAATGCGCCGGGAGATGTCTGAGAAAATCAAGGCTGAAGTTATGAAACAATTTGATGTCGGTTTTCTAGCAGCTACTTCTTACCCGTAGTGGGTTGCCAACGTGGTTCCTGTGCCGAAGAAGGATGGTAAAGTTCGAATGTGTGTTGACTATAGGGATCTGAATAGGGCAAGCCCCAAGGATGATTTCCCTCTAGCTTATATCGAAGTTCTGGTTGACAACACCGCTCAGCATAAGGTATTCTCCTTTATGGATGGTTTCTCTGGTTACAATCAAATTAAAATGGCTCCCGAAGACACGGAGAAGACAACCTTTGTTACTCAGTGGGGTACCTTTTGATATAAGGTCATGCCTTTCAGATTAAAGAATGTTGGGGTAACATATCAGTGTGCCATGGTTGCTTTGTTTCATGACATGATCCATCATGAGATTGAGGTATACGTCGACGACATGATTACAAGATCCTAGACTGAAGAAGAACATCTGGACCACCTTCAGAAGTTATTTGACAGGTTGAAGTTGTACAATCTGAGGTTAAACCCGAACAAGTGCACCTTCAGAGTGAGATTTGGTAAGCTGCTGGGTTTCGTCGTAAGCGATAAAGGTATTCAGGTGGATCCTGCAAAGGTGAGGGCTATACAGGAAATGCCAGCTCCCAGAACAGAAAAAGAAGTCAAAGGCTTTCTGGGACGTCTGAACTACATTGCCCGATTCATCTCACACCTGACTACTACTTGTGAGCCAATATTCAAGTTACTGAAGAAAGATCAAGTGGTAAGATGGAATGATGAATGTCAGGCCGCTTTCAAAAGGATCAAGGAATATCTCCAAGAGCCACCCATTATGATGCCTCCAGTTGAAGGGAGACCTCTGATCTTATACTTGACAGTACTCGACAACTCAATGGGGTGTGTGCTGGGTCAGCATGATGAGTCTGGCCGAAAAGAGCATGCTATTTATTACCTTAGCAAAAAGTTTACCGACTGCGAGACCCGATACTCGTTGCTCGAGAAAACTTGCTGCGCTTTGGCATGGGCTGCTCGCCGGCTGAGACAGTATATGCTGACTCACACTACTCTATTGATATCAAATATGGATCCAATCAAGTATATCTTCGAAAAGCCTGCCTTATCCGGAAGAATAGCAAGATGGAAGATGATCTTGACTGAGTATGACATCCAGTACACGACCCAAAAGGCAATCAAGGGAAGTGTGTTGGCGGATCATTTGGCACATCAGGCAGTGGACGATTACCAGTCTATGAACTTCGAATTACCGGATGAGAGTATCATGTTGGTGATTGACTGTGAGACACCTGGACCGGATGAAGGACCTAAGGAAGGATCCCGATGGTCTATGTACTTTGATGGAGCTTCAAACGCTTTGGGTAATGGCATTGGCGCCGTGATCAAATCTCCTAAAGGGTCTCATATTCCGTTCACCGCCCGGCTATGTTTCAACTGCACCAATAATATGGCGGAGTATGAAGCGTGCATCATGGGTCTTCGAGCAGCATTTGACCTAAGGATAAAGTTTCTAAGTGTTTTCGGAGATTCCGCTCTCGTGATCAGTCAGATCAAAGGCGAGTGGGATACGAAACACCCAAATCTTATTCCTTACAAGGAGTATGTGTTGACGTTGCTTCCACACTTCGAAGAGATAACCTTTGAACATTTCCCTAGAGAGGAGAATCAGTTGGCGGACGCGCTAGCTACGATGT